CCCCCTTGAGACCTTAGGCTGGAGGAGACCTGATCAAGGAAAGGGGAGCCATCAATGCCCATTAGAAGACACATTTTGAAGACTTTCTGGACTGAGGGACTCTGTTGCTGATGAAAGTGTTCTCAATTCCATCCCATAATACCTAGTCAGTGATGCTCTGGGAATCCCTGCAATCCCTGACAAGGTGAGAAAAGCCATCAAGCAAATGAAGAACAAGAAGGAATGCCTGCAAGAATCCCTGCCTAAATCTTCAAGCAGTGGGGAAAGAAACTTGCATCACAGCTCTATGCTGTCCTCTTAAGGATCTAGAATAATAAGGAAATCCCAGATGATCAGGATCATGACAATCTTCAAGAAAGGAGACAGGTATGACTGTGCAGTGGCGATGTATACGTGGTGCACCGGGGTGCATGTGCAACCCCTGAGAGAACCAGTGCATCCCTTGGAAGCTGCTGCAGTAATTGGCCACGGGGGTCCCTCCAGGCAGCAAGATCGGCCATGGGGGGACCACCCCCCAGGTCGGCAGAATCGGCCATGGGGGACCTCCCCCCAGTCAGTGGGATCAGCTGTGGGGGTCTCCCCCTCTCCCCCCAGTCAGCAGGACTGGTCACAGGGGGGAACATGTGCCCCCTCTGACTAAGGCAGCACCAGTCGCCCATGTGACTCTGGAAGTTACAGAGGGATCGCCTTGCTGTCCACCACAGGACAGATCATTGCAAGAACCCTCCTGAACCATCTCCTTACACTTGCTGAAGAGTTCCTCCTGGGATCTGAGTGTGGGTTTAGGGCATAAAGAGTCACAACTGACATGATCTTCACTAATCTCCAGTAACAGGAAAAATGCCAGGGACAACATAAACCTCTCTTTGTGGCCTTCTTTGCCCTCACAAAAGCCTTCAACTCTGTTAACCGAGAAGCACTATGGAGGATCCTTCTGAGGTATAGATGGCCACCAACATTCGTCACCATTCTTCTCCTGCTCCACGCTGGCAAATGAGTGATGGTTCTCAGTAACAAGTCTGTTACAGATCCCTTTGAGGTTAAGGCTGGAGTTAAACAAGGCCCTTCACAATATTCCTTACCTTGATGCTACATCTCTCCAGTTGGAGTAGAGCTAAACTACCAAATGAATGGTAAGCTGTTTAATCTC